AGATAGTACAAGTTTTACATGGGCATGCAAAAAAAAAAAAAAAAAAAAAAAATAGAGGATTTTTGTAAATATCATTGTGGTAAGGTGTGCCTTGAACGTTTTAACTGACTTAATCAGGTATATGACAGTAATAACATAAACTTCCTTCTTAATCTACAAATTATAACATCAGTTTGCGTGTGAGCAGTGCAAGATAAATTTAAACTTTATGGATCCTATGCTTTTCTGTACAGGCAAAACTGGGTTTATGAAAGATGACATTATGAGGTAAAGCCACTTAACCGTCGCTTTTCTGTCTGATTAAACACACCCATTTTGGTATCCAGTTGCAATAATACGTTTGTTAGTCACTAGGTATATGGGAACTAAGTACAGACACAGTCGCCCTTGATGGAGAGGATATTTTACCGTACATTTATGGCTGATATAAGTGGTTTCATTTTCTACAGTAGACCTACTTAAAAAAAGTGCTACTGAAGTTTTGTTGAAAGGTGCAAACAACTATAATCAGATATTCATACAATTAGACATTTGAATGACAGAACAACAGAACAAACCAAATGAAAAATAAAGAATTCAATATTAAAAGACAAATACGCCCCTATAGGTTCCATTGTTATAAAAACAACGAGCAACATTTGTAGATTAGACATCAGCCTTGTAATTATACTCTAACCCATATTTTTTAGTTAATTGTGTATGTCAGCAAACCGATTGCCCAGCATCCATACCATGGCGTTTAATACGTCGTTAAGACAATTTGTGGGAATTACTCCCATAAAAAGGAATAATAATGAAACAATTATAGGAGAAGACAATCAATTCTACAAAACGTGCGTGGACCTGAGAAAAGACGCCAACCAGTGCTTTACTAAAACATTTATCACCTAGATGTATAAGGTTTATATTCCCTCGGGTTAGTATGTTAGAGATAGGCGGAGACAGTACGCTTTTTCCTTTGTCTTCCTCTGGTGCGTGGCACTCGCCGAGTATTTGTTAGTTTTTCATTAAATGGCGGCCATTGCGGCCGACAGAAAACAAGACTGGCTTGCAGATAAATGCATCAGTTTGTTTTGTAGGAAAATGTACCTTTCAAGAGTTAACCGCAACCCCATGGTCTGTTATTTGCTTTTTTTCTTTTCTTTGCTTTCCTTTTTTTTTTTACAGAGGCGTTTTCCTTTCAAGGATTCTTGCTAACATGGCGTAAACAAGTTTCACACAATATGCCAGATACAGTATGTTTTTGCACTAGACTTAATTAAACCGCAGACAAGGGACCAATATTAAATGCTCTTGTTCAGTTTCAGGTGACAACTATAAAACACAAGATTCGCCATGGGCAAGACCCCCACCTCATATTCTAAGAGGGCCATCACAGCCTGAAAGCAAAAAGAGGGTGTTTTCTGCTGGGAAGTCCTTGTGCCGCACTGTGAATGGCAATTCCTGCAATTGGTTCAAATGACCCAATTAGAATATAGTTTATACAGGATTGGAGTGACAGACCCACGGTGGATGTCGTTAAAAGCCTTCCCTTTTAAGTATTATCTAATTCAAGGATCCTCAACATACAAGCCGCCTTTGGAGACAAGGAGATTAAACACAAACTATATGTAGCGAACAGTATATGTCTCAGTACTTGAAATATTTCTAATCAAGCAAGCCTCGGTAAAAAAAAACAAACTTCTCCGTGATATCGGACATGCTAAAAATGAAAGATGTTAGTCATCTTAAAAACTTTATCGAATTTGTTGTCATAGACAACGCGCAGTTCGTGCTCTAGCGCTACAAGCAGGCAAAATTCAGTATTGCGTTGGTAGTTTGCTGACTAGAGTAAACAGTTCTACTCGAACGTTGGCGATATTACATAGATAACTCAATCACGAACACCTCGAAAGTCTAATGTGTCTTTCCGTTAGAACACACTCCTCTACATGGTAAGGATATGGGACAAAATTTATGATGCTTTTACCAGCTTAGGCCCCTACTTGTAACGTTGGGCATTCAATACTTACATACTGATAGGCCTACACACGCACGCAAGCACACACACGCACTTCTTTGTTATTTTTATAGAATAAAGTTAATTAGGCTAGATGACAATAACTAACATCTACCGTTTGTGTAAAAAAATTATTTGAGAGAGGCTTGAGAATGTTTAAAGCATCAGAAACACGTAAAATGTGCCCGAAGTTAATTTATCAAAAGACTTTTTAAAAACAAAATGCAATAAATCATTCCTTATTCTATAAAGTCATTCGGATTGTACATTATGTCACATTGTAATATAATGATTTATTGCTATGTGTAATAGTAACCAAAACATTCCTCTTCAAATTTATTGAAAGGTATATCTCAAGAGACAATAACCTATCGTAGTGTCTTTAATATGTCTAATTTAACTGGAAGCAAGTTATAGAACACTTAAGTTATTCATTTGAGTGTGTAACTCATAATATCTTTATGATTTGATTTAGGAGACTTTACAGAAAAAGGTTGAGTGGAAATCCTATCAGTCAACTGCTATCAGTATATCATTAAGAAATATTGCAATATTTTCACCGAGGATAGCTCTATGAAATAAAAGCGTAATTATACTGAAAGCAATAATTGTAGTTTTATGAATGCAAGACTTGATAGTCTTACTTTTAAAACGTATCGTAACAAATCTATAAGCTCCCTATAAAGAAAGAAGGGGGGGATATTGATCCATCATTTTGTTTCAGAAATCTGAATCTTCTCTCTCTCTCTCTCTCTCTGGTCAAAGAGAGAGTGATAAATAGCAATTCTACTCTAGGGGAGACCGGGGCTAGTTGGACCCCGGGGCAAGTAGGCCCCCCATCAATTTATGAAAAAGTAACTACGGGATAAAAAATTTGATCATATCATTTTGTAAAGTGACTGTATCCAATAATACCAAGAAAGCGTCGGTCGTAAAAAGTTTTATTTAGGCGGTGAGTCTAAATGAAAGAATTCTGCAATTCTTAAAGTAACTTTATTAAAGAGATTTTAAAATCTATTTTCATTGGCTTTTGATCGAATATAGTAGGCCTATATGATAGGGCACCAAACTGAAGCTCATAGTTTCAAGGTTCATAGAAATGTATCATCGTTGTTCATTTTAGCACCAAAAATGGCTGCAATCCTTTAAAATAAAAAAGTTGGCCCCCTTGACTCGGGGCAAGTTGGACCCTCATTTAGACTATAGGCCTAATCCTTTGCGCACAAGAGAGCTATAGACCATTGTTAAAATAAATTCAATAGTTTGTTAAATAATTAGTTTAAGATTGAATTTGTAAGTTTTTTTAAACAAAAAATTATTATTCGTTTTTCATTCATTAAAAACCTGCTTTATACCATTATTAGTTTATTCTTCATTTTAAAAAAAGAAGTTTCACTAATAGATATTTTGTTTTCGTACAACACGTACAACGTAACGTACAGAAACCTCAAAATATCTGCCTCATTTAAACTACTTATTCATCAATGACTCTCGAAAATCACTTTAATAAAATTAAAATGTGTAAAAATGTATTTAATGGCGTTTACATGGGATACGTGACGGGGCAAGTTGCCCCCCCCTTACGTCAATTGCGCTTTTTGTCAAATTGTGAGCCATCTGGCATTATATTAGAAAATTAATGACGTTGCATACGTAGCTAAGTTCATGGGGCTTACGTTGAAACCGGTTTTGTTGCACTAACTTATTCCCAGTTGGCTCTACAAGACCAAAAGTGTCTAACTGGGCCAACTCGCCCCCGTCTCCCCCATTTTTGGGATTATTTTTTTCCTGTTAGATATTTTTCATTTTTGATTAAAATCTGTGGCGTCAACAAATGACGTTACGCAACCCACTACGACGTAACTGCGCGAGCAACTTCGGAACGCGAGAAGCGTCATGTGAACGGGGTCAAAATGGCCGTGTGAAAATATGCAAACTTTGAACATTTAATATTTTCTGATAAAAGAAAAAATTGTCATGAATTTGGAAACAATTGCTTTGCGAGGAATACGCAGCGTGGCGGATAACGTAACTGAAAATGGTACGGGACACGGTGGCGGTACAAGTTCCGGTGGACACCATTCTCACAGCACTGCAGCAATCCTATTCATCTTTAGTGGATGTACACTAGGAGGTAGGAACAGTTTCACTGAATTCTGGAGGACTTCGGCGCGCGGAAAACGCCACCAAATATTATACGATCATGTTCTTTTCTCTTCTGTGTTTTGTTATTGCAGGATTAGAATTTAGATAATAGAAGCATCAGAATCAAGTAGGCTTCACCTCTACTTCTATGGTTACACAGAGCCAAGCTAAAATAATACTCCCACCTTATAAGTCTTTGGGTTTCAATGTTCTTCTTAATTCAATTATATGATGACTATGTGTCTCCGCTATTAAAATAATTTGGCTATTTACTTTTTTTCGATGTTTTACAAGAGACTTTCAGTCCATTAAAAATAATGAAAGCTGAGGGAATTTCATGTGTCAACAGAAAAAAATAAAATAATAATAATAAAAGTAAATAAAATAAAAATAAAATAAATAAAATTGCAAAAGCCAATTCATTTGAATGGTAGAGACATTGGTGAAAGTCACCATATAACTGAATTTAACATCGAAAAGCAGACACGACAGAAAATAATTTCTTTTAAGAGGTCAAGACATTTATTTTGTCAGAAAAAAGAGTGAAAGCAGTACGCGTTGCGCGGAGGTATTTCTCTGAGCTATACTATTTGAAACTACAAGCTGGCATTTGGTTTCAGTTGCATCTTTAGGCCAAAAATATCCGTCTGTTAGCAATAATCATGTCACTTGAACTCTTATTATTAATCACGTTCCTTGTACTATAATCTTACTTTCAGCCGTGACAAGAACTTTGATCAAACAACTTCGGATACCGTTGCCTTACACCGTGCTGCTGCTGGTGATTGGCGGGATTGTGGGTGTTATTGCAACCCACGCACCCGCTGTAAATACTTATACATTGCCTATGACAGAAATGGACCCTCATCTCCTGCTCCACATATTTCTTCCAGTCTTGGTTTTTGAGTCTGCTTTTGCTATGGAAGCTCACACGTTCATCAAATCTTTCATGCAAATCGTCGTCCTCGCTATTCCTGGCTTATGTAAGTACTTAATAGAATGTTTATAAATGAAAAATACAAATACATTATAGTGACTCGTAATTATTTGTGTATTTCATGTATTCTATGACATTGATAAAACAAACTGACAAAATTTAATATAGAATTTTATTTTAGTGTTGGCATCAGTTCTGACAGGCCTGTTAGCCATGTATGTATTCCAGTATAACTGGGAATTGGCTGATTCCATGATGTTTGGCTCAATTCTCAGTGCCACGGACCCAGTTGCAGTCGTGGCTTTGTTGCGTGAAGTAGGTAAGTAAATTATAAAATTTAATTATTAAAATAGAACTGTGAAAATATCTAAAAGTTTTCTTGTAATGTATAGATACATTCAAGCTTAATCGTAAGCGAAGAAAAAAGTTTTTTCTCTTTTAAAACATTTTTCTTTTTTGTTCAACCAAAGATCATCTTATTTTTATCGGGTAAAACGCAGCAATTCAGTTTCGTTTGCGTATATTCGAGAGCAAGCGTACCAGTACAGTACGTAGGGAGTATAGCGGACAATCATTTTATTAAGGGTACCACAGATTAGTACCACCACTTTCCTTCAGCAAATTGTGATAAAACAATATTATCTAATTGAATTCTCGTACTTTTAATGTTACGCCAATGCGTTTGATTCTTTTGAAGTTATATCAAACAAAAGTTACTTTATTTTCAACTAGGTGCATCGAAACAACTTGGTACACTCATAGAAGGAGAATCGTTGCTGAATGACGGTGCTGCTATTGTACTCTTCAACGTTCTCCGGAAAATTTCGAAATCAGCAGGACAAAGTGTGGACGGTAAAAGACTGTTCGACATGAAAGTTAATGAGTGTAAATCAACAATAACAAAAAGCAAGCGTTTTTGTGTTAGCAAGTCTTTTGCTTGAGTTGTCTGGAGGAGATAGCGCTGAAACGTTTTACGAAACTCATAAGTTTCACTCTGGAATGAATTCTACTAATTTCACGTCTCTGATTTTTGGACCTGTCGCCTTTTTTGTCTAATACAGAGTTCAATACCCAACCAAAAATCTATTCAGTGTACGCATACCTCTTTCATTTATGAGGCAAGAATCGAAATACTCATACTTTAAAGTGTGGCTTTCTCACACACACACACACACACACACACACACACACAGTCTACCGTTTGTGGTTCTCTTTTTACCATTTACATGAAAAAGAATGTCGTACATAATGTTCCGATAATTCAAACATTCATTTTTACTTTTTTCAGGTGGGGAGATAGTTTTAAATTTCATACAAATTGTCTTTGGAGGCACTCTGTTTGGATTCGTCATGGCAAAACTTACCACACTATGGCTATCTGAAATATTCAACGACGCATTAACAGAAATCACCATCACACTAGCATGTACTTATATGACATATTTCATAGGTAAGGCTACGGTTTTAAAACATTTTGTTTTGCGCTTTTCGTTCCTATTATAGTGTAAATGGCACGCCCAGAATTATACAATTCTACTGGTTTAGCACTGCAAATGAAAAAAAAAAATAATAAAAAATAAAAATAAAAAAATTCGCCCCTACAACGTTTGCTTAAGAAGTCAGGTCTGACAGACACAATATAAATAGTGAGAATAATATGTATCAGAAAGAAAATTCAACTGCCAACAGAACTGTTACATTTGATAATTCATTTGACAATCACAAACTCACTACTGAAAATTTTGGTGAAGATGAAAAATGGCCGAAGCAAAAAATAAATAAATAAATAAATAAATAAATAAATAAATAAACCTATTCTTCTGCTTTGACTGTTTTTGTGACGTTTAAAAATGAATCTCTACTTGATCCAAACAATAACAAGGCTCATCTTTAGACAGTATAGCTATTATATTTTTTAAATGAATGGACTAATAACCGGAGTATTATCAAAAAAATTCTGTCGGTATGAAATAGAGCTTTTAAGATTTGTAAAATCTAATTCAACTTCTTTATGTAATGCTTTGCCCAGGTGAAAATTTCTTTGGAGTCTCCGGGGTGTTGGCAATCGTGGTTGTTGGGGTGATCTTAAATGCGGAAAGAACCAGTATTAGTCCTGAAGTAGAAGCTTTCTTGCACAGGTAATCGATTGATACTGCTAGCCATGCTAGAAAACAATAATTGATCATTCAACAAATTATCTGTATCCTAAATTAAAGATCAGAGTCTACTGTTTCTTTTATTGCCCAATTGCTGCAATAAAGTACTTAATTCACATATACGTGGTTCTTCCATTTTCTTAGTGTGTTAACTGTTTGTAAGAACCTCAGAATTGTATTTCAGATTTTGGGAAATGATGGCATACCTGGCCAATACCTTGATCTTTATTCTTGTGGGCGTGGTGATCACAGAGCGTTCCCTCAGCCATGCGGTTGGTAAAGACTGGTTTTACATGATTGCGCTGTACTTTGGGATTATAGTAATAAGGTCGGATATGTATATGAAAAATATAAATACAGGCTGGTCCAAAAAAACGATCTTTTTTTTACTTTCCATCTCAATTTTTATATAATTAAGATATTTCCAACTTTTTTTCAACAAATTGTCCCCTAAGAATGACCATTTTATTCTCGCTAATTCTGCAGAAATGGGAAACCTTTAAGGTAGCCAAATTTCAATCAGCATTATCTCACGTCGCATGGACTTTCCTTGGCCACCCTTCTCGCCAGATCTCAATCCCCCAGATTTATTCTTTTAGGGGTGCCTTAAGGAAAGAATCTATGCTAACAATCCACAAACTAGACACTTTAAAGACCACCATATGAAGAGAAGTAAGGAACAGTCCGGCTGGCATGATTGCAAGAGCCTGGGAGACCAGCATGGAATTAGCGGCATTGCTTTTGAAGTGTGGTCCGGCCGTTGACGGATTAGTTAGTACTCGGATAATCTATTCTGAATGGCCCCTTTGACTACCTTAAAGGTTTCCAATGTCTACAGAATTTGCATGGATAAAATGATCATACTTATGGAACAATTTGCTGACAGAAGGTTAGAAATATCTTAATTATATGTATATCAAAATTGAGATGGAAAGTAAAATAGGTCATTCTTATGGACCACCCTGTATATACATTTACTTTTAAATTAACGCAGAGTAAATATTGTATATTACCGACCACTGAAGTAGTCAGAATAAAGTCAAAATGGAATCAATGTATCCACATTTATCCAAAGCATAAAGGCAAGTCTCCAAGGGGCGTCTCGATAGTCCGAAGGTTCACTGGTCCGAAAAATCGTAACGTTTTCATCAGTTTTTTAATCAAGGGTTCGTTGTTCCGAGGGTTCTATAGTGAACATTCGGGCCAATGAACCTTCGGGCTATTGCCACGGCCCCCTTTTTTCAATTCAAAACCATGAAATGTAATGTATTATGATTGAAATACGCAATGATGTAGTTTATAATATGAACATTACAGTTGTCTTTTTGTCATTTTCTATTTGTTAATAGAGCGTTGGTGATATGCTTATTCAGTCCTGTTCTAAAACGAATTGGGTACGGCATGAATTGGAAAAACGGAGCCGTAATGACTTGGGGAGGTCTCCGTGGTGCAGTTGGATTAGCCTTGGGGTTATTAGTTGCTCAGGACCCTGAGCTTAACCCTGATGCACCTATCAATATAAAAGGAAATAAGGTAATTATATTTTGTGACGTGACAATATTCCATCAATAAGAGTCTGGCGTTTTTTCTCAGTGAATAGCTTGACGCAAAGAACAAAATATTGCAATCTTATTTACTTCTTTCAGATGCTTTTGCACGTTTCTGGTATAGTGATCTTGACGCTGCTGATTAATGCAACCACAATCTCTACGCTTCTCAAGATATTGGGTGGGTATCTCTATTCATTAATTGACTATTAAACACATGTGGGATCGCTCCATAAAAGCAAAACGTCTATTAAGCAATTCATGGATTTCATTGCCTTTCTTTTTCAATAAGGATTAACTCCGTAAAGGTGCTCAAAAGTCCTAATTTCAGTAGCCCAAGATTCTTGAACTAGTCTCCAGTATCTTTTGGACATCGACAGTTTTGACAGCCATGTACTATTACTTTATTATTTTACTGTATGTCAAGATTACCCAAACAAGGGCATGACTACCTCTATTTCAAAAAATAAAACAGATTTGTGAAGAAAAGCAACTCAAACTTCTTAAGTGATATATAAAGAGAAATTCTTACATTAAGGTGCCCACAAATCATATAAATTACAGCATACACTTGAGTTTGCTGACAAGAAGATAAAATAATAATTATAAAAAGAATTTATCCTTTTCTTATTTGAAATGTCCAAGTAATATTATCATGATAAATCTGTAAATCTATATGCAATTACAAAAATATTTTAACTTTGAGCAATGTCAGACACACTAGCCACAATCCATATGACAGTTCACTTCACTACAAATATACATCTTCAAAATATATACTCTCTAACTTATACCAGGAATGAGTGACATTTCAACAGCCAAAAGAATGACAATGGCCAATGCTGTAAGGCATTTGAAGGAAACAAAGGGAAGGACTCTGAATGTTCTGAAGGCTGATCGCTTTTTAGCTGACGCTGACTGGGACATGGTTGAAGAGTCATGTGAAATTTCAGATCCATATCATACTACTGAAGAAGAGGTATGCCACTTTGATAGACACGAATCCATCCATGTTTGGAAGATACTAGTAGGCAATGAATTCTATCCTTGTACTGATGCAAAACTGCTGTCCAGAGTATGTGCCCAATGCACCATCCAAAATATTGAAGCAATAAAGCTACATCTTTATCTCAATGTCTTGTAGGCAGAGCTGGACAGCTTGGTATATTACAACCGAACTACCACCTGCCCTGACTGTGAAACAGCAGTGCCAGCAGAACCCTCACCACAGGAATATAAGGAAATGGTCAATGAAGCAAGACTTAGGATGTTGAGAGCTGAAAAGGTACCAATTTTCAAGTTTTGTTTTCTGTTATAATTAAAGGTGCATTTTCTGTTAAAAGTAAGGTGGTTTTTTTTGTTGTTGTTATTTGCAAATTTTATGTAATTAACATATGTCATATCTTTATTTAAACTTTAACCAATAACTGGACATCATGAGAATGGGTAACAGATAGAAATGCATTTTGCATATGAAATGATTTAAAAACTTTTCTGGAAACACTGCTATGACTTAATGTGTATGGTAAAATTGGCAAAGCTTTTTTAGTAAAAAATTGAAAGTGGTATCAAATTTATTATCATGAAGTATTTTGCTTTTTTTTACCCCTTGGTTTATATCAAATAACAATAAAATTTTTCACACCAGGTTTCTTATTGGAAGCAGTTTGAACATGGCATGCTGTCCAGAGAGGCTGTCAGGAAACTGGTAGACCAAACTGAACATGCTGCAGACCATGAAGGAGGGTAAGAATCTTATTTTTCATTCAACTACTGCTAGAGTCACCATAGTCATAGACACCTCTCTAGCAGTGTGTGGTAAATTATATTTTTTTGTATATTTCAAATCATATCTATATATTCCAACTTTTCCAGATTTGTTGATGTGGAAGAAATCAAGAAAAGTTGGCAAATCAAAGGAATTTATCCACTTTTGGTAAGTTTGAATCCAACAGACACACCTAAAAATGTGCACATTGATGTCTGAAGTAACCTGGGTCAAATCAGGGATCCATCTGCTTTACCCAAGTGAAAAAAGTGTAAGCCATCTGGAGATGACCACGTGGCAATCATGTGACTACATATATTTTTCTCCAGGTCACTTTTGAAATTATTTCTTTTACACAGTTAAGGTATAAATTATAATCTGGGACATTATGACATCTTTAGAAAGCTTGTCATCATATTTCCATGGGATGGGAACTTTGAACTGAAAAAAGCTGATACTTTAGTAATTCAGTCTAGGGAGTGACTTTAGCACAATCACAAAATGTGGATTTCAATTGATTTTCACCCAATTTGCACCACAGAAATCATTTTAACATTGTTATCATTTTTTCAGCAAAATACCACATGCTTCAAACATGAAAGCTTGAGTAAGGCATATGAAAAAGCACATAAAAAATGTTAAACATCTACTATTGATTTCAGAAAAGGAAACTAGAGAGCTGGATATTGGACACCAAAATACAATCTGTTCCTCCTCCAAAAAGACCTCTCCTTCGAAAAATCTACAAAATGGTGAATTCAGTTGCCTTTGAATCCATTGTGTACACTGTGATTTTCTTGAATATGATACCTATCATCGTGGAGACAAGTTGGGATATATCAAATGAAGAACATCACAAAGTTATGTTTGACATTATCAACTACATCTTCTTTTCTTTGTATATTATTGAAGCAGGTCTCAAAGTAAGTATCCAAAGTAAGTTATGGAATATCTATATCTTACGATTTTGCAAGAATACAGCTAACAAAAAAGAAAAATACAAAAGAACAAGTGATAAAGTGTAAGCCATCTGGAGATGACCACAAAAGAACAATTTTATGTCATATAACTGACTAACAGCTTTCAAACAAAAGACTTTTCAGATTTTTTTCATTTATCTTTTTTGTCACTTACAAAAAGGTGACTTCTGATATGAACAAACATTTTTCAGTACTTTTGCATAATTTTTTCCTGGTTTGACAGACTAAATATTATTTTTGGGGGAAATAACTTATCTTTGTTTGAATTTAGAATGTTAGTACCCCATTGAAACAAGTGTGTATCAGATTAAAACAATTCAAAAACCTGTGCATAATATAAAGAATACAACAATAATTCATATGCTACTATTTGCATTTGAAAAATCTTGAAATACTCAACTCTTTCAGATTCTTTCATATGGAAAATATTACTTTGCAAGTCACTGGAACAAGTTTGATCTGGTTATCATTGCTCTGTCAGTAGTTGACATTGCCATTGATCTGACAGTTGACTTGGGATCTGCAGCAGAAGCATTTAATCCGAACCTACTGAAAATTCCCAAGATTTTCAGATTGCTCAGGATGAGCAGGTTGCTACGCCTATTTAAGGTATGGCACATTGGTCCCTTCCTCTTCTCTACATATACAAATTAGCAATGAAGTATGCTTCTATAGAAGTCTCTTTTTTACACACATGCAAACCCTAGTACGAGACAACATTTCACATAACTGTTTTTTTTCATGTGTTTTCAAATGAGCAAGTTCACATTCACCAGTAATAATGAGGAAATTTGGTATTTGGTGCTAAATAAGCATGCTTTTCTGTATTGCACCTGGTCTCTCCCCTGAAGCATTCACTAAAATATATGCTCATCTTTGGATTTTAGCCCCTGATTCCAAAGATAATTGCTTTCCTTAACCGTCAAATCAACCAAATGTTAAGCTATGGGTATGATGTAGGAAAGGGATATGTGGTGGGTGAAGAAGAGGTAAAAAAGCTTATTGACCACATCAATGACAACAAGAAAATAGCTGTCATTCTAAAACAAGTGTCAGACAAAGGAAGACTAGAAGTCATAAGAGAACTAGGTTGGTGATTCCAATTACTGAACTTCTAGAACCGATTTCATTCTTCTTTAAGTCATAAAATTTTGACAAATAATCTATATTATGAACATCTCTGTAAAAAATGTCAAATTTATTGAGGGGATTCTTGATGACAATTTAAAAATATATACCAGTACACATGGGTTTTAAGTCCAACAGGAAAACTTACATTAGCTTCTGAAATAATTTTTTTTCTCATTTATGTTTCAGGTTTACTTCAAAGGGAACACCCAGGTATTGCAGTATCAGTTAAGACAAGACAAGCCATTCGAAGTGTCCTGAACACATTAAGAGACTCCATTCTTGAGCTGAGAGGGGATGGACTCCTAGATGAAATGGAAGGACAAAAGTTAGAAATGGTATTATGTAATTGCCTAAATTATGAAACATATATACAGGCCGTATTTGGCACCAAGTATAAAAAGGTTTTGATAAAATGATTAAATTGATGTTTTTTTTGCAGATGGTTGAAGAAAGAATGAAGAAACTTCTCAAAGCACCTTCAAGCATTCCTCCACCTTCTCCCATTCATCTGCTGCGCAATGTTGCATGGCTTAAAGGAGATGATAGACTTCTGGAATTTTTTGTGGTAAGTTTGGGAAATGAGCTATTTTTTCACACTCTGAAAACCAACAAAAACAATATATACAGGTTAAAAAGTCAAAGCTTTTGTTATATAATTTATGTGACATAATTTTTGTTTAAAATACTCTTTTTGGAAAGCAACTTAGCTCTGGACAATGTTTCTAGGAAAGAGCTGAGTTACTGACGTACAACTATGGAGACACTCTGATGAGGAGAGGAGATCTGCCTAATGGCATATATATACTACTCTCTGGCATGGTCAAGGTATGTTTTTCCTCCATTCATTTATCAAAATAAAACCTTGAACTCAAGCTTTGTCACCACGTTTACATGGATTTTTCTCTGTTTTAATTATTGGAGATGCTGCTGCCATTCCACCCAAGGGCAAAGGATGATATTGGAAATTTTGTTGTAATTTATATATATATAAACCTGACTTTTTATACCAGCTTCAAGGTGTCAATGAAGATAAGACTGAAGGAGGAATATCGCACGATGAGGAAGTGATGGACTATTTGTCAGCTGGTAATGTTCTGGGTGAAATGGGTTTCCTTACAAACAGCCCTAGAAATGCTGACATCATATGTGAAACCAGTGTACAGGTGAGAAAGGTCTTCTCCTCATACCTATGTTTACCTTTATTAACTAAAAAGCAAAGTTATTGTTATACATACAGGTAATTAGAAATATTTTGTAACAGACCCACACTCTCTGAAATTGCTGCTAAAATTAATCTGCACAAAACACTCACACACACACACAATGTTTAATTTACCCCAACCAGTTTCATTACTATCATAATATACATCAACATATATGAAATGTAATAACTTGAGAGTTCAGTTGTGATGAAGCATCAAATTATCTAAACTTTTATTAAATAAAAATTCTGACTGTAGTGCTTGAGAGTTTTATATAATTTTTCTTTCAATAATATGTGTAACATATCATTTTTTTAACCAAATGTTTGTGCTTTACTGAAATTCTTTTTACAGGTTTACCTGATCAAACTTGAAGACATGCTGCTGGCACTTCACACTTTTGTAGAGGAACCATCTCTGGAGTACAGACTGTGGCATGTGTGCGCAGTGCGTCTATCAACTACTATAATGTTGAATCAGCCACAGTATCAGGTAAAATCAAGCTTACATACTAGAACTCTGAAAATGTGAAACAGTATTCTTTTAGAGGTGACATCTTCATCCCAGCTAACACAAAACATTGAGATAACTGACAACTAACAGACATGATAATGAGATCATGTCTTAATACATTATACATTTATAATATATTTATTTAAAATCTACAATCCATTTAAAATGTTTAGTTGACTTTACAAGGGTATATTAACAAAATAAGATAGAGAAAATGAAATAAAATAAAATAAATACCTTAACAAATAGATAAATACACTGGTGATAAACAGGGTTGTATGGCCCTATTTTTTTTTACACATTTTCAAATGTTCTCTAAATGTTATTGTGTAACTTTTCCCAAAAATGTTCTTCCAAAATATTGAAAAACTTTGCTGGAAAACATTTTACAAACATTATGATAACATAAACCTAACATTCCCTCAATATTCTGGGAACATTCTTTTGATAGCTGGGATGTACAACTATATGACATGCAACACTGCAAACATCATATGTTTTAAAACAAATATTGGTAAATTCTGATATGTTATTTCAGGGTTGGACAAAGGAAAAAATGCAGATGTATCTTGAATCTTCTTTCCTGGTTAGCACAGAAGACTTGAATGTTTTTGATACTACTCAGTATGATTCAGTGATGTTAATTCAAGGTAATTATTCATATTGTTAAAAACATTTTCTTTTAATGTCTAGTGAATCAACAAATTAAGATCTTATATTTTAAAGAAATACCAAAGCACTGCAAAACACCAAAGAGAATTTTTGTAATTTTAACCAAATATCCACATCATATACATGTAATGTACTGTACGTAAGTGTGTTAAAAATATATTACCCACTGCCCATGCTCCTTCCAGGCACAGCCACAGATTTCATTTCCAGAGAAGAATACCAGGGCCCATGCTTCATCCCAAGAAACTGCACAAAGCTCAAGTTTGCAGTATGTTAATTTTATCCTGTACATTGATTTTTATGTACAGAGTTTGTTGGGATCCATAGTGCTGTAGCCAAAGTTGTGCACATTTCTCATCACCCTAATAACTGTATAGAGATACTGCCATTTTGGTCCAAATTCACAGAGATTACTCAATGTCCTAAAATGCCAGTCAAATTCGATAATGGGTGTGGTCTGATTATTGTCATATACTCTGTTTAAGCTTTAACCTATTGGTCTAGTTTTGAAATTGGGATATAAACATATATATAATGACATTCATTGAGAGACCATTAAAGGATTACGCGGTCTTCCTTTCATGTAGGTCCACCATAATTAGGTCTCATCCTTGCTAGACCTCGGCTTTTCTCGAAGTGAATGCTCTCTTACTTGCTAGGTTTTTAATATCCATGTTGCCTTTAGTACATAATATAAGAGGGTAAGAGTAATTATGCTGTTATAATGGTGCATCATAATTGGCCAAAACATTATTTGGTGCACTCCTTTTTGCGTCTGCATGTCTGAACATTTGTCAGCTTTGCTGTCTAGTTTTATATACCTTTTCTGGTTATTTCGAAAAAAAAAAAAAAAGGGATATACAAATGGCAATTGCCACTCAGTACTGTTACTGGAAAGCCGAGAGTCACCATTGTAACAAGGCATTATTGTCTTTCACACATGGCACAGCAATTGGGAAATGAGTAATATTAAAGGGATAATAAATGTTCGTTTCAGCCAAAAAATGAATTTTCCCAGAGTAAACAACAATTTTCTCATACTTACCAATGGTTAACGAATTCATTTCTACATTCAAAGTTAGTCCCTGTTTTTTTATGTTATAATCTCTTAAGAGATTATTACCGAGTATAGCTATCAATGGACGTCACATGGTCTAAAGACAAGCTCAGATATCAGAATAATAGCTATAACTGGCGTTTTTCTTGTACAACAGAATATATTAAATTTCTATAAGTTGTTCACAATGTTTTTATTGTGAAATATAGATTTCATATGAAGAGTTATTATCCCTTTAAATAATGTCTTTCATTCCAGCCCAATGATTACCCTAATCATATTATTCTTGTGGTGCCAAAGGAAGATATCCCTGCACTTCTACCACCTGATAGGGGCTCAAAAGCAAGTGTGAAACCCAAATACAGCCACTACAAGTCAAGTTTTTGTCTCAGACATGCCTCACAACACAGAATTGACCTCCAAACTAGAATAAGCAAGACTAAGGTAATCTTTGGTCAATACAATAAGACAATTATACTAAAATCTTTTAAGGTAAAAAATACACATTATTCAATGTCATTTTGAAAGAAATAAAGAAATTTCACCCAGACAAAGGATGCATAGCTAAACCACCATATTCTCATTCTTTTAAAGATATTTCATGCAAAGTTTATCAGTTGATTGTATCAATTTCTTGTATCAGTTTTTTTTGTCCTTTTTAAGGCTTCAGAAAATGCTAGTAAAACCAGTTTAACTGCTAGAATATGGACAAGGTTAAGCTCAACAGACAATACCTTAAGGTTAGAGAAGCACATTTCAAGAATAGGATCTGCATGTGTACTGATTTTTTTTAACAACAGACTTACAACAGAAAATTATCTTTGTACTAAAATAGTTTCTTTTAAGCATAACAGCAATATTACAAGTTTATATGAAAAAGAATGTACATTTGATTTCTGAGCATATTTATCTTTATTTTCAGTCCTCACATGGCGCTGCCCCCTATTGTGTAATCTGTTGTGAGCTTACTTTGGCAAGCCAATTCATGAAGAAACCAATAAGTGCAAAAGAGACTTACAAAGTTTTTTGTAACCTTTTTCAATAAGAAACTATCACAACTACACATATAATGGATTTAAATGTGAACTGTTAACTTTTTAAAAGTGTACCTGATACAGTCAAAACTTTGAATAACCAACAAGGGTTTATCTTATTGTAAAAGTTGTATATGTCACAATTGCACAGTGTAATATGTAAATATTTCTAAATCATAATTCTGCATTTACATAAATGCCATTACCACTGAACTAATTACTTATAAAAATCATCAAATCCATCATTCTTCTTTTCTTATTTAGTATTTTCTTAACATCAATGCACTACTCTGGCATCAGATTAATAAGAGCTAAACCCACATGATAAATATATCATTATAAATTTTGAAGTTATTGTGATTGGCTGTCAGAATTTACACTTTTTGCATCCATATTACTGCTACTGCTACCTGGAATCTCCCTGCCCTGTGTTGTCAACTCCATTACTGAGTTCTTTGGTTATTTTAAATACATCAGCAATACTACTGAAAGTCTGTCCATACAGTTTTCCTACTTTGCAAATAAGAGACAAATCCTCATGAATCTCATACTTGACACAATCAACATTAACTAGAACAGGATGAGACACCAATTGTAGCTCTGGCACTGGCCAAGGGAGGTCAACATGATGACGGTGAAGCTGCAAGTAAAAATAATCAAGAAGTTTTTCAAATATCACTTACTAATGTTATCTTTTATAAAAAACAGGACCTAAGCAGAATTTCAAAAACAGTATGAAATTGTTTTTGAAGATGTTCACTATGAAGTTGATCATACAGCAGTGCACACTGCCAAACTTTTAATAATGAGTAGAAATGAAACTATCACCTACTCATCAAAGAAATTTAAACTGCTGAGGAGAGTTGCCTTCTTAATTAAATACAAAGTATAATTTAACTGTTGTAGAGGTAATTTTAAAAATTGAAATTAAAGATATGAGGAGACTGAAGTGTACTGCACCTGACAAACAATTATTTTGAAGTAATACATTAAAATGGTGTGGCTGTTCTGTCCAATTGAAGAAACTCATCCTTCAAGAAATCAGTAAAAAAAGCTTATTTTCAAATTTGAATGGGCATTGTAGAAAAATTGGGTGTGATATCATACAGAAAATTTCTGTACCAAATTTCAATTCAAACTGTTGCATTGATTTTGAAATAGAATGCTTCAATTTTGGTGCTCCTTTATGATCTTGACCAAAACTAGAAGTGTGTTGTGATGCCATTCAGTTGTATGTGGGAAGCTGCTGGATGAAAACAGTAAAAATATGTACTTCCAGTTTTTGTTGATTTCTTGAAAGTGTGTATTTCTTGAAGGGTGAGTCTACAAGAGTTGGAAAAATATTTTACCTTGAACAGGCTTCCATCTGCACAGTGCCAGACAAGGCCCTCCACACGCCCTGGTGGCTGTGTCTCAAACCAAGATTTTAAAGCCTTGTGACTCAGCTCTGGGGGTGCTGAGCACACAATGGACCCATGCACAACTAGAAGGTGGAATGGATCTTTTTTGCTCCCTAATCCTGATAAAAGAGAAGCATTTGTAAAGAAAAGAAGGTATACAATTGCAAAACACCAAAGCATTTTGTACTTCATCATTTTTGTATATGTAAATATATTTAGTTTATTTATTTTGTTTATTGTAATTATTATTATTACCATCACTATTATATTTGCTATTTGACCAAATAATTTTAAGAAATGCTAATATCTAAAGCAGGTTACCATATGGGTTCCCATTAACATTTGTTCCAATAAGTTCTAGTGACTGTCCCTGTAATTCTGATAATGCCCTTATGGTAATTTCAAGTAAACCATTTTCTTCTTTTGCAGGCCTGAATAAAAAAAGAGTACAAAACTAACTTTAAAAAAAAAAACAACTTGTACATTCTAAGTCAATTAGGAACTGGATAAACTTCGGTAGGCACTATTTCTGAATATTTATATCATAATATATTTCTTAGAAAGTTGAATAAAAGAATCAAGAAGTTTGTCTCAAGCAACAGGTGAACCCATTATTTTATTCAGTTAATACTGCTAACTATTATCGTTTAGTACTATGTTTTATCTTTGACTTTTCATATTTGTCTGCTCTACATTGATTTCACCTTTACTTAGACTATGTTACCAAGTACAATCATTTATGATTAATCAAAGATCTGAATTGACAAAATTCATGTGATAATACCTACTGCAGCACCAAGGCTAATCCTTTATGCAGATTAAGAACACTCAAATGCCAAACATGGGCATTAAGACTTGGATCTACGGGCACCCAGCCTAGAAAAATGAAACTTTACAAGAGAGAGAGAGAGAGAGAGAGACAAAAATCATGTTGCATTAAGAATGTAAATATAAACAGAAATGCGTTTTTTTAAAGTTGTAAGTCACATTCGGTGACTGGGTAATTAATCTCTCAGGCAGCAGAAATGGCTTTAAAATAACACCTTTTACAAGTTTCTGGTCATAAATTTGACCTACATGTTCTTATCATCTAGTCTGTAAAGCACATAGAGTAAGCAGAAAATGTCATTTTTCAGAAATAAAAGTAATGAAACTATGTAGTATTTCTTTAAGTTATATTGTTTGAAACTAAAGCTGGCATTTGGTAGTGTTTAGCAGAAATTATTTGACATAAGCACTTGCTTAAAATGCATTTATTATTAATATTGGTCAAATAGTAAAAACGTTTTACCTGTACGATATATATATATATATATAAACAAGACACATGGCAACAGAAACCCTTCTGCTCGGACTTTGAAAACTGGTAGGTTACCTGGTATGTGTCCATTGCTATCAGGTAGGTAATGGTCCCCTTCTTTTTCCAAACCTTCTGCTGCTTCCCAGTTTTCTGGAACTTCCTGTGAAACAAACATGATTGATTATAGAGTTACAGTGGTCCCAAGTGGATTAAGGAATTTCTGGACCAATAAAGTAATTAAAATCAAAGTATTACTGACCAATAATAGCTAAATATAATTCACATTTTAATATTTGATGGAATGGAACTTGTACTGAAGATTAAAACAAAGCTTCTTTCTTATAAGATACATACCTTGAAATCCTTTTGTAAGTTCCAACTAAATGAAGGTTGTGGTCCATCTTTCCCACTTGCTTGCCACGCTCTGTGAATTGTTTGAAATTTCTTGAATCTTCTGTCTGTTGCTTTGGTTGGCTTTTTATCATGACGTGCCCATAACCAGGGCTGCTCTGAAAATGGAGAAGAGAAGATATAGACTGCATTGTTACTGTTAAGCACTCCTTTTCTAACTTTGTTAACTACAGTAGTTATTGGTGCAACAATTTTACATACATGTATTCCCTAATGTACATACTCTCAGAATAAGGGAAAGGTATCTGCCAGTCTCTTGGTTCAAAACAATAAACTAAGCTTTTAAAAACAGGTTTAACTGAAGGTCAGCTTGTTTATATCAAGAGTCTATAGCTACCTAGGAAAAACATGCTACATTTGAACTATTATTTTCTTTCCTTGGAGCATATTGTTAGTACCTCTGAACTGTTTCACAATTACACATGTCCCATCCAGTTTCTCTGATGGCAGGACGTCCAGCACCCCTGCCGCCACAGCATCTTCTCTTAACTCCTCTGAGGCTACAACTCTATAGGGCTGGTAGGAACGCTTTTTAGATTGCTCTTCAATCACTATAGTTTTGAAAATACAGGGTACCTTGGCCTGCACACTCCTAAGATGAAGCATCTGGGTTGTGTCTAACCTGAAATATCATTATGATATAGGTGAAAATATTGTTAACTTTGCTCTCATTACTTGGTTTACACGTTGACCCTCGAAAATATTTAAGATGGAGTATGTTACGTGGTAGTACTCTCACCGGCATGAATCTACAGGCTTCAGCGACTTACTGAATACATATATGACTTGGTTTATAGGTTGATGGTAAGATCGCTGACGTATAATGAATTTTTGTTAAACAAAGTACAAACCTTCGGTTATCTCCGAGGTTCCTGATAAATTGAAGAAGCGGTGTGCTCTAAAATGGTGACATCTTGCCTTCTTTTGGGAAAGAGCTTACAAGAAGATCTTGTAAGTTGTTAAGTTATAACTAACATTGCGATGCACATACGTAGATAAAAATTTATGGTGGTTATGGAAATTAAAACAAAACTGCAGAGAAATAAACGGACAAGAAAAATACACAAAAACAAAGCTGTTACTAGTGCCACCTGTCATCTGTTTAGACTGATCGACCTTGACCTTAAGCTGAGTACACCTTTGGTTATGAAGACGTTGGTACCATTTATTACGTTGTTGAACGCATAAGCTATGTCCTATATTGTAGTTTTACTAAGCTTCGTGTGCGTTTGCATATCTCCGTACTCTCTGGCACAGGGACAACTAGGTAAGAGGTTGTAGATTTTGGGTCAAACTTGTTTAACAAAGCCACTGTTATTTGTTTTTCGGAATACGACAGGAATTTAAATTAATGGCAAAATGTTGTCACTTTTCAGCTGTAAGTTTGATTTTTTCCCTCCCGCACTCCTATTGACGATTCTGATATGTACTGTAGCACAGCCAGCACATATCAGAATCGTCATTAGGAGTACTAACGCATGAATTTTCGTGCTACCCCTCTCTCTGCATATTTTTCTAAGTTCTCAATAAACTAGGCCGAATAAACTACTCTCTTCCCAATAACTAAGACTCCTAAAATCTCTTTCTTCTTTCCTATATTTATATGCAGCAGTTGTTTAAGCACATGCAAACTATTTGGCTCACCACTGATGGAAATTATCCAACCTGGTGGGAGCAGCAGAAAGAAATTTGCATCAGGACAGAAATGATGCTGACCAAATAACACGTCAACAATAAATATCTATACTTAGTTTAAGAATGCGACAGTACATACAGCAGTGTGCCATTAGGTTATATGTACCAAGTCTTTAGTTTGTTTAAATTATTATTGTTAACACTCAAAATGCAGTAGAATTTGTTCTAGTTACTAGTAGGAGGTATGAATGACAAGGAAATATTTGCTTTGTATTTCACTATTGATGAACTCTGCATTTATCTTATAAATCCTTCTTATTTAAGGAGTATCACTCATTTCTAATAAAGAAAAAGAATTAAACATCAAGCCTAATGTGACTCTGCAGTTCTATCTGACCAGCATACATCAGAATGTAGCACATGTTGTATTCCAAGCTCACACTCAGTTCAGGAATATAACTGTCTCCACCACAGCAGAACCCACATACAGCACCTCAGTCAATGGAAGCCATGTGGGGGTCCTGACCTCTCTACACAAACTACAGGATAATGCCACCTGGTATGTTACATCATGGAATGATGCTGATATACACCTGGTGGTCATAGCAGTCACTTACTCTAGTACAGGTCAGAATCTTTGGAAATTGTTTTGAATTTTTTCACATTAAAGTATTTGTTATGGTATTTTTTCATCTTTTTAGTGTTTTCCAATATTCATAAATCATCGGAAGAGCACAGAATGTGCGGTAGTTCTAGTTTACTACAAAAAATTATTATTGAAAGTACTATATGAATAGATGTCTTTGCTTTCAACTGTTTTGCACAGTGATTTATCTCAGTTTGGAATTTGTAATAATTGAGTTGCTAGTCAGATTATAAAATGATGAATATTGCTGGCGCAAAGGACTTCAAAAATTTTGACAGTGTTTTGCCCAAAATTATAGTTTTTTTTTTCATGTGTTTTCAGATCCAGTGCCAGGAGGCTGCAATCAGGAATTTAACCTTCAAGTGGACCCAAACCTTAATCTGGCCAAGGTCACTACTGATTTAACTGTGCTGCAGTATCCCCATGCAAATGTAGCATACAATAGAGACCCTAAGCTGGGACCTCCTGTTTGTGAAAGTATCAAAAATAATTTGACTTATGAGTTGTATGAGCTATACATCACAGAAAGAGATTTGAGTGAACTTGCCTTTACTCTAGCCATCAAGAAGATGCTGACTGTTGGTGATGTGTTGAAGAATGGAAGAAAGGTACAAGTAAATTTTGATTACTGCCCAGGTAGAGGGAGAAAGAAAAATCTTGTGACAATTGTAAGTTATGTCAGGGATTTATTTCTACATGCACTTGTCTCTCACTTGTCTCTAAGATCAGCACATCCAACTCTCAGAGCATTTACATGTCCGAAGTATGTCATTAACACAATGAAAGAATGGAAATATTATTTTGAAATTTAAATGCCTAACCTGTGAAGCTGACAGTGCAGGATAAACTCCCACAGTGCCAAACTTGTCTGTGTTCCAGTTAATCTCCCTGTCGTCCAGTGACAAAGCCAACCTGAGTATGGTGACCTACCCAGGTCAGGGGGTGGTGTGGACTGTACTGGTCACCCAGCTGGTCAATACAACCATTCATCAGGCTGTATATGTCCCCATGGCTTCGTATGCCTGCAACTTTGAAAGCAATGAGAATGGATGCAATAATATAGGTAAAGTTTTCATAACTATTTACAAAGATAATCTTATCAAGTCCTCTTTTTATTATTATATGCAGAGCATAAATTCATGATTTTGCAAATATATTCATGTTCCTCCATTGGACGTCATGCAATTTGGTATATACTTTGTTAAGTATTTTACCACTTTTAAGTTAAAAAATGCCTTTGATGTTTATAAGTCACATTTTTTGTATCTGTAAGACACTGCCTGGACTTGGATTGCTGCATCATTTTCTGCTGTTGTTGGAATTTTTATTTGCTTTTTGGGACACAGACACTTTAAAACAGGTACGTAAGACTTGATATTGTTACTGATGGTTACAGTTTGTTCATTATTATTTATAAAAGGGTGATATATATTTCAAACAAAATTGAAAGAGAATCAGTGTTAAAAATCTTTATTTTTCAATCAGAAGTTTTAGAATTAAACAAATGGCCCGAAGTATAAGAGATTAGTCATGTCTGCAAAAGCAGTGTGTGTTATCTATTGCTCGTAATGATATAACTATCTGATTTTTCAACAACTTATATATTTTACTCCCATTGTGTAAAATATAAAACAGCTATATTTACCCTTTTATATTAAAACATGAATAATGATTTTTTGTGGTTGTTTTTGCAGAACTGTTCATATTTGGAGGATTGACCTTTACTTTGATATTTTTCATTGTCTTTAGCATCGCCACAGATATTAGTGGAATGGGTAGGTATTTTGCCTCAGTCTAGACATTCAGTATAGGGAATGATCTGTAAGAATTAGTATAAGCTGAAAAGAGTTTGGAAGTATGAGTATTTGAAATGTGAAAAAGCACAGACTAGAGTTGACTTAAAGAAAATGAATGAAACTAGATTTTTACGTCATCTTGCGTACCAATAGTCCATTTATAAACTGGGTACCAGATAACTATTGAAAGGACAAATGCTGATATGTAGAATTGTAATGTGTACAACAATATATCATATAATTCTGATTAACTGCCAATTCATGAATGATGCCTACCCCCCTCCCAACCCCCATTCTGAGTGGGAGAGAGCTCAAGTGAAACAGGAGTGGACCTATTCATCACTTCTACCTCTTATTTAACCTCTGACTTAGGATAGGATAGCATAGATATTTTAACTTAAGAAACCTGTTTAATGATCAACAATAAGAATATAAGTAAAACATGGTAATTTCCCCCCCACAGATCTAGCCATAGCGACTGCCCTGTTTGCACTGCTGGGTGCAGTGTTATGGCTGACATTCTGGTGGTACTGTGGACTAGCTGTGTTCTCGGTTCTTTTGGTGGCATTGCTCTTTGGATATTTAGTAGCAAGCACACTGTTCTTCACGCCATTTGGTAAGGAGGGTTTTAGTTACTATGCATGTAATATCCTCAGAATTGTAGTAGCTTTGTTGAATATTGCCTTTATGTTAGTCCACAATAGATAAATAATAAGAGCAGAAAATAAGATTAATGAGACATAAAAAATAGTTCTGCTACTGCTAATTAAATGTGCTGACATTGAGGTGAACTTTTACTTTGAAATTTCTTTTCCAGGTAATATTCCATGGTGGAGAAGTAATCTCAACTATGGCATGACCTTTGCATGTGCTGTTCTTATTTTACCAGTTATCTTCCTCTACTGGACAAAAACTGTAAGCAACATTTATTTATGGTTTACTGTATTCAGTTTGAAATGTCTTCTTTTGGAAAAAAAAATCAGATTCAAGGGAACAGGGCATACAGAAACATTCCCTACTTAATTTTTAAAAACATATTTACTCATTTTTTGCCGCTTCATTAGTAACAAAAGAGAAATCCTTTACATTCAGTAACGTGCTGATCAGACTATGTGCTAGTAAAATAAAGGAAAGGACATACTTTTTAAGAATTGATTTTGAGTGATGTATTACAATTTGTTTTCAGCTGAACATCATATCTTGTGCAGTTGTTGGTTCCTATGGTTTTGTTGCTGGGGTCAGTATGGCAGCACATGGCAGTCTGGCCTATATTGTGGTGAACTCTGTTAAGAGTGCAGTGGTCCATGACTTCATCAAGGCAATTCCTACTACTCCTTTCCAGTATTCTGGTCAGTTAGAAAAAGTTATCAAAATTTTTGAAGTAAGGTGAAAAAAAGCAAAATATTATAAAACTTTGAGTCAGACCTTTTTTCAAATGAATTATTTGACTTCATTGGATGTAAATGAATGAAAATCCATTACATTATATTAAGTTCTGTAACTGTATTCTATTACATTTCTGTTGCAGATATAATTCTGTGTGCTGTGTGGGGTATACTAGCAATAGTTGGTCTATGCATTCAGTTGTACACAGAGAGACATCAGCCAGATTTCCCACCTTGTCCATATAAGATGCACAAACAAAAGCGAGAGGAGGCTAGGAGGCAACAGCATTTAAATACACAGACAGAACGCTCCCCTCTGCTTGAGGATGCTGTCAACATTCAATATGGTGGCTTGAACTCTCCGTCATATGCCAGGGCACCACACCTCAATGAAATAACTTAATTTAACAAAAGCAAGATTTTATTTAGCCACGCTGTATATATATTTTCACTTGTTCATGATAGAACATATTTACCATTGATCTTAAAAAACATGTTTTTCTGGGCTATTACATTGCAAAATGTATAAAATGTGTATGATAAAAGATGTTTTATGCCATTTCCAAAATGTTGATAAGGACAAAATCATTTTAATTAACATGAGATGCTCAGGAGATAGCATAGCGACTTTCAGATAAAATTCTTAACTGTGATATATTGTTGAAGTATTATTGTACCATGTCTTCCTAGGCTTTTTTTTTTTTTGGGGGGGGGGGGGGGGGGGGGCGGGGGAATGCATGTTATGTTAAGTGCATATTTGCGATGCTGTTGCATAATTCATTGTTTGAAGAGATATTCATGTTTAGGTATCCAGATTGATATTTTCATTTCTCAGTGCTTTCTAGATAGGGCAGTTTTGTCAAAAACAAGAAACTTTCCATATATAAATGAGTGGGAAAATAATTGCTTGGCTTAATACTGTACTTTTATTCATTGTGGTGAAAATTATCCTCACTGACAGCTTATTTGAAATGATCAGCTTGTGTAGAATGTGTTAATAAACGATGGTCACAAGGCTGCTATTCCCAGGACAGCAGAGTCGCAACTTTGAACGATATACCACTTCCACATGAGACTGCCCAGACATTTAACAATTTCAACATTTAAATAAAAAAATGCAAACAAATTGGTTTTAAGATGTTGTATTTGTATTAAAAAAAGTCTGGAGATCGACCTTAATACTTCAAATGGGACCAGAGCAAATGTCAGCGTTGAAAAAACCAATTTAATATGAGGATTGCTCGTTTCATAACAGCCACCGAATCGGAAATGTACTGCTCAGAATATACCTCTATATGATGGACAAGATGCTTTAAATGATATGTTTAAAATGCTACTAAGAAATTTTTGTATTATTCAATAATTAGAAACATTTCCACTAGTCTGATAATTCGCCATGGTCCCCTTAGGGTACATTGTATCCATCTTGTATGTTATAGTTAAACAAATCAAGAAGCTAAGGACACCAGCTCTCCAAAATAATCTTATCACACACACACACTAAATCAATGACTCACTTCATTCATGGAATGCCACAATAATATATAACATAATAATACTTATAAATATGGGGTCAAAAAGCTTTTCACCCCTTTGCCATTAAATATTAACAGGTGCACTAAGTGATACTCTCAAGTTAAACTCTAAACATGGTTGAATTAAATTAACAATGACTGCAACAGAGACATAAAAGCTGTTTACTAAATTCATAGAAGTAGAGGCTAAATTTTAGCAGCAGTCAATGACATTGAGAGTTTGGAATATAGCCCCAGATGTGATGGATTCCCCTCCTGCAAGCATGTCCTGCTGCACTTGTAACCAAGTTGACACCATCCGGATCACTGTGACAGTGGACAGTGTATTGTAGTCTTTTCACAGCTCTGCTAATGACTACAGGATAACTTGCTTGATAATATCTCTGAATGTCAAAGTTCTTGATAACAATACTCCAAAATTTTTTTCAGAAATTCACTTCCACTTAACTCTGCAAATGATTTTAAATGTCTCAGCCTTAATGTGAAGTATTATAAGAACATGATGACAAACTTCAATTCTCAAACTGCTGATGGAAATATTAAGCATGGGGCATTCAATAATCAACATACAGCCTACATTGTTGATCTTTAGCCTTTTCATCGAGAAATTAAAAGTGCACAATATACACTCATTACTTTGTGATCAGTTGGCAGCATGCCTCCCTTCGATGGTTTTATACACACAAAAAATGATGCAGGAAATTATGTGAACCAGACCCAGATGTTTGCTGAGAGAATTAACCTTGTATCATAGTTGACTACTGATCTTAATCAGATAATTTCTAGAATATCATTTCTGTTGTTTGTGCTACAGCTGCCAATAAGACGCTCTCATCTTGAATAAAGCCTCAGAAAACAAAGTGTTGTTGTTTACTTTATAATAAATATTACCTTTAAACACAGCCGTTAAATCAATAAAACAAATCCACACTCAAACGTCCACATGAAGACTTGATTAAATATAAACTGTTTTCAACCAGGACACCATTTCTTCACCTCTGTCCATTTGCTTTGAGCTGAGGTTTCATTACTACTTTCAACAAAGGTCAGGAATAGTATGCAGAGTGTGGTGTGTTATCAGTACTGCTATATGCACTATGACATGCCCTCCTGCGAATTTGACAGTTCCATGGAGTCGTCTAGATTGGTCTGACATTCATGATCACATAATTGAGGAGGGTTCAAACTGTTCCTTATCCTAAGCATCTCACGCAGTCCTTCATTTTCAATTTTTAGTCTTTTGACCAATTCCTCTTCCTTGGGAATGGCCAGGTCATCTATTTTTATAGATTCCTGCATCACTGCAGCCATTTCACAGATTTTATCTATTTTCTCCTGTAATTGCTGAAAAGGAATAAGAAATTTAATGTAAAAACAGAGCCACCTCTTAATTGTTAGATTTCAATAAATCGGATTAACAATACTTATAATTATTCCACTTATTTCTTGTTGCAGTAGTCAACACAGATAATGCACAAAAAGTATTCAAACCAATAATTGCATTCATTATCCTTCATCTATACTTTAAGATTCATGAACACACTAGTAGTATGTTATTTCACAAACCTTTCCATTTTGTGCACTGTTCACTGCTCTGTCCACATTGTTATCCACTTTCCTAGCCATGACTAGCTTAAGCACTTGTTCTCTATACTTGCTCATTATTAGCTCCAGGGCTGTCTGATACTCATCTAAAGATATGCGCAGTTCCCTGTTCTCTTGCTGTAATTCTCTTATTTGTCGATTTTCTTGGGCTAGGCCTAGAATCAATGTTGACCTAGGCCTATGTCGTGCAACTTCATTAAGATCATTCATGTCCTCTTGGTACTGAAAAATGACAAATACACGATTACTTGTATCATGAAACGCACTGATCAGATTAATCAGGAAAAAGTGGCAAGATAGTTAAATCGTTTTATTTCAGAAATTGCTTAAAATTTCAGAATTGGTGGGAAATCCCCAAATTTCTGTGGTTTAACTGACCTGTTTCATCCCATCCACCCTTTTGTTTAATGCCTGGGCCTGAGCTATCAGTGAATCTGCTGCTGTGTCATGCTCTCGAAGCCTGTTCACAAGAAGCCTTGCATCTGTCAGAATCTTCTCTATACTGCACATGTTCCCTTTGATGTGCATACACCTGGAACTGTAGACAAACGGGTTGACAGCCAACTCAAGCTTGAAGCAATTTATAGACATGTCAGTGACATTTTTTTATCTTATGAATAAATAAAATACTAGTATAAGCAGCTTTATATGATACAAGAAACAATATGTATGCCAATAAAAACAGTATAAAATATAATTATGTGACTGCCAAAACTTGTTTAAGGTGGATGTTTTTGAAAGACACTGAAGCAAAAAAATTTTAGAAAGGGAGGCAAATCTTCTAGTTGTATTGTAAAAATAAGGCTGGCAGGAAATAAAGCAGTTAAAAAACTCTAAAAAAATGTGCTTCTAATTTTTCACCAAAATACACAAATGCACTTTCCTTTCAAAATCATTAAGAAATGCATTGTTTGTGTCAATTCTGGATGAAAAGAATGACTAGATGCTTAATTTTTTGGTTCTGCAAACGAATAGTAGGTGAATTGTTGGTGTATAATGCTACATAAAACAGAATTTGTGAATATTCTTCTCCCTTTTGCCAAACTTCACTTTACTTAGTTTTGCTAATTTGTTACATTACAAACATGTTCTCAATTTGAAAGCTTTTCGATAGGTTTTCAGGAAAACGGGGACTTGTAATTCTGCCAATAAGATGGTCAATAACAACTTATCAAGTGGACAAATGATCCTTTAGGTATTTATGTGTACAAGTGGATTGGAACACATCTGCTATTATAAATGAAATTACAGATGAAATTTTAAAAAGTGACCTTACTAGTGAAACAAGGCAGCAAAGCTGTCAAATGTACAGACAAAAAGCAGGAAATAACTATGCACAAAATAGGCTACTGTCAATTCTGATGCAAAAGTACATTATGTTAACAAATTCAACATCAAATTTTAATTATGCTCAACAGGTAATACCAATGTAAGTAAAATGTGTAACAAGCATAAGGCTTCAGGCCCATGGCAGTTCAAGTTCACACTTTGAAAATGTATAACTTCCAGAAAAAGAAGCCAATTAGACTGCTTTTCCAACTCAGGCTGCATGCCGATTTTCGAACTTGACCTCCGTTTTAGTAAGATCGATTATTCCTGAGAGTTTCACGACAACAGGCCTATCGGTTTTCCTTGAAATGTGTTTACAGTGTTGCATATATGCTGAAAAGTGAAAAAACAGCATAAGTTCTACAATAATGGCCCGATCATGCTGATTTTCGAACTTGACCTGCGTTTTATGAATATTCATCAGCTCTGTAAATATACAGCCAAAAAGTAAAACTGCCTTCCACTTATCATGTTTACAATGAAAGTGCACGGTGTCGGCAACGGCGACGACGGCGACGACAGACGCAGGTGATGGCAATATGTACAGACACATCTGTACATATTTACTGTACTGTTTGAGAACAGTAAGTGACATGGTTTTTCTTAAATGGTCATCATGGGAGCAGTGCCCAAAATAGGTTTTTTTCAAATTTTGATGCAATATTACATAATGTTTAACAGCATAATGACCATCAATTTTTAATAATAAAATATTAGTATCATGGATATTCAGAAAATGTGACTAGCAAAGGTCTTCAGGCCCATGGAACTTCAAAGTCACAACTTGAAAATGCCAAAATGTAAACAAGACAGCACTGTTCTGAAATGGGTTTATTTCCATTTTTAACACTTTTTTAACATAAAACAAAATTAACAGTTTACTGCCATTTTTATATGATCAACTAAGAAAATTGATGAGATGTGAAAAATATCAATAGAACAGTGTCAAATGTCCAATTTCCTCCATTCTGAGTTTCTGAACATAGTGAATGATTGAATCTTACAAACTGCAATGATATGAGTTTATTTCCATTTTTGACACTTTATTACACAATACACGATAACAAGTTTACCATCATTTTTACATAATCAACTAACAATGTTGTAAAGATGCAGGAAATGTCAAACAAACACTTTTACTTATCTTATTAATTAAATAATGAAACTGTTAACATGCCTAAAAATTGAATCTGAGGAAATGTGAAACAAGACAGCACTATTCTGAAATGGGTTTATTTCCATTTTTAACACTTTTTTAACATAAAACAAAATTAACAGTTTACTGCCATTTTTATATGATCAACTAAGAAAATTGATGAGATGTGAAAAATATCAATAGAACAGTGTCAAATGTCCAATTTCCTCCATTCTGAGTTTCTGAACATAGTGAATGATTGAATCTTACAAACTGCAATGATATGAGTTTATTTCCATTTTTGACACTTTATTACACAATACACGATAACAAGTTTACCATCATTTTTACATAATCAACTAACAATGTTGTAAAGATGCAGGAAATGTCAAACAAACACTTTTACGTATCTTATTAATTAAATAATGAGACTGTTAACATGCCTAAGAATTGAATCTGAGGAAATGTGAAAAAACAGCATAACTTATAAAATAATGGTCCGATTATGCCGATTTTCGAACTTGACCTGCGTTTTAGTAAGATTGATTACTCCTGTGAGTTTCATGACAACAGGCCTATCGGTTTTCCTTGAAATGTGTTAACAGTGTTGCATATATGCTGAAAAGTGAAAAAACAGCATAACTACTAAAATAGTGGCCCGATCATGCCGATTTTCGAACTTGATCTGCGTTTTAGTAAGATTGATTACTCCTGTGAGTTTCATGACAACAGGCCTATGGGTTTTCCTTGAAATGTGTTAACAGTGTTGCATATATGCTGAAAAGTGAAAAAACAGCATAACTACTAAAATAGTGGCCCGATCATGCCGATTTTCGAACTTGATCTGCGTTTTAGTAAGATTGATTACTCCTGTGAGTTTCATGACAACAGGCCTATCAGTTTTCCTTGAAATGTGTTAACAGTGTTGCATATATGTTGAAAAGTGAAAAAACAGCATAAATTCTACAATAATGGCCCGATCATGCTGATTTTCGAACTTGACCTGTGTTTTATGAATATTCATCAGCTCTGTAAATATAAAGCCAAAAAGTAAAACTGTCTTCCATTTATGGTGTTAACGCTGAAAGTGCACGGCGACGGCGACATGATCGGCGACGGCGACGGCGACGACAGACGCAGGTGATGGCAATATGTACAGACACATCTGTGTCTGTACATAAAAAGTTATGCTGCTGCTGTGCATCTATGCAAAGCATTGACACTACACAACACACTAGGATGCTAGCATAAAAATTCATGCGTTACCAATCTCTGATAAGTACTATTTGTGCTAACGCATGAAAGATAAAGTGCAACATAACTGTAAAATGACAGCCAGATAGAGCTTTCATTATGCTGCAGGGCTCTCATATCTTTATCTCATCTCTCAGATATTTCAATGTGTGTGGTAGGTTCGAATCTGAATTATTTATGTTGCCAGGCCTGTTCAGTATAGGTAAACTGCTTCCCTTTTATGCCAGGTGCAAAGTGGGTAATCAATGTGTTACAATTTTTTTATTAAGGACTTCTAAATCCCATGGACTGGTCACTGCAATCAAACCCATGACCTCCCACTCTGTGGACACTCTTACCACGGGTTCATCTGGTCTGTCAAATAATGACACAACAATTTACCCTTTATCTCCCAAAAGGCAACCTACTGTGCAGAATCATAAACAATGTATGTTGCTTTGCCAACATGATTTTTCATGAGAATACCTCTGGAAGGAAACCATCACTAACTTTCTTATCAAATTCAGAATTTCTTTCATGGCAGCCATGACCCCCCCCCCCCCCCATTTGTGTCGTACAATTTCACAAGCATAACTGGTAGATGAGCAGTAAACAGAAGTGCTTATATGTGAATTTTCATGCTAGGTAATAGTATATATGCATGATTTTGGTATATAGAATTTTGAACAGTTGCAGGCCCTAATGCACCAGTTGCTCAAGATGTAGAAGAGACAGTAATCATTTCGTCTTAGAGTTAATATAAACATTATACTTCAATAAATTATCCCTCTCCAATTATATGTCTTGAGAAAGGCTACATCTGATACGTATAGTATTGTTAATTTTAATGTTATTTTTAATGTTATTAGCTTCGACATTTGTTTGATTCCTTTTTTTCAAATTTTCGACAAGTGCCACCTAAGTTACAATAATTTTGCAAAAACATATCGTTTAGTACGATAATGCATGGAGTTGATTCCATTTACCTATCATAACTTAAAACTTGTTCCACGCTTTACATTTATGAATTTGGGAGCATATTTTTTTAAAACTTACTTGGTGGCAAATTTTCTTTCAGTCAATTTTCTTCCTGTTCTTCAAACGCAAAAGAGGTCGGATTCGTTTGTCTATAACAGAGAATTTGTCCGGAAAAAAACAACGTTGAAATATCTAAGATCTTAGATATTTCGTACTTAAATAGCAATTAAATTAAATATCAAATTTAAATGATAATTTTAAACTAATAACAATATTCTTCAGACTGATCTTTAATTTCAAATTTACGCCAATGCAGGTCCTGCGACAGATTCCAGATTGCAACCCAAAGCTGACGTCACTTGTGTTGAGAAGCTGTTGTTCATTTGTAGGTTGTGTGTACCGATTTTGGAGGATTTAGACGAGTGAAAGTAAAGAATATACACGGTAAGATTTGAACTATATAAACCCTATTATACACCATGATGTATATGTTGTTTTTGTATTAAGAATCCTTCAGCATTCTTTCTATTACAATGTTGACAATGATTATGGAATCTCGGAGTTCTCTACAAAATGGCGGGCAGGGTACTGTTGCTGTCATTCCCAAACAGTCAAATGTACCGATACAGATATCAAATAGAGTATATTTTATTTATACTGATTGATTTTCACCATTAATAAGAGCGTGAAAACGTTGGAGTCCGACTGCCTGTTTTATTTTAGTGGGCTACCATGATTGACAGGGCACTGGAAAGCTAGATTGTTCACTGTAAATTCTTTTTTCACGGATACGCTTTTCAGTTTTCAGTTTGGGTTTATTTTTCAACTTCATGGGAAACCCATCACTGTGGGAGTGGAGTAATGGTCTTGGGGGCCATCTCTTTGTAAACAACCTTGCAATGCTACTCCCCAACATCGTTACTCCTCTTTGCAAAATTATGATGTTATCCGCATTGATACTGCCAAGCATTGTTACTATCCAGCACCATTACTCCCCCTCATAGGTTTTTGAATGACTATTTGAATAAATTGCCCCCTTTGGGTCTGGATATTTACAGGCAGATTTTGAAATGAAGAAATATGTTCAATGTGTTGCATTTTTACCAGTGGAGAGATAGGATGTAGGGTAGTAACAGTGAGGGTTAGTAATAATGTGGTGTAATTTTAATTTCCTTACCCCCATAATTTTTAATGTTAAAGGGCATATATGTGCAAATCATTTTACTTGAATAATAATAATTTGCAGTTATATTATATAATAACTGCAAATTATTATTATTAATTAGTACAACTGAATCTTTTGGTATAAGGTCTCTGTGCAGGTTGTGCTGTCAAATATAGTTTGTTGTCTTTGTGCAGGTTGCGCTGTGTAGTATGTAGTTTGCTGTCTCTTGTATTCTAGATGCCTAATATAAAGCTACAGAGCTCAGATGGGGAAATATTTGAAGTAGATGTGGAAATTGCCAAACAGTCTGTGACAATCAAGACCATGTTGGAAGGTAGGTGTTGTATAAAATGTGAAATGTTTTGTTGTGGAAGATGAGATCAGTACTTGGATTTTGCACATGATCTCCACTGAGCTCTTATACCTTTTTGTAAACAGTTCAAATTCCTGATAATTGGCATGGGGTTCCTTTATATGAACAATGTGCTACTCACTTAGTCATTTTAATATGAACAATGTGCTACACACTTAAGCTGTTTCAAGGCTGTAACAGGTGAATTTGAACATTTCTTAAATGTCTTAAGGCAATATATAAACTTTTACAAATACATAAACTTATAGGCAATCAGTTATGTTCATTTTTTATGTACAGACACAGATGTGTCTGTACATATTGCCATCACCTGCGTCTGTCGTCGCCGATGGCGATGGCGATGCCGATGCCGTCGCCGTGCACTTTCCTTGTAAACACGATAAGTGGAGGGCAGTTTTACTTTTTGGCTTTATATTTACAGAGCTGATAGATATTCATAAAACGCAGGTCAAGTTCGAAAATCAGCATGATCGGGCCATTATTGTAGAAGTTATGCTGTTTTTTCACTTTTCAGCATATTTTTCACATTTCCTCAGATTCAATTCTTAGGCATGTTAACAGTCTCATTATTAAACTAATAAGATACGTAAAAGATTTTGTTTGACATTTCCTGCATCTTTACAACATTGTTAGTTGATTTTGTAAAAATGATGGTAAACTTGTTATCGTGTATTGTGTAATAAAGTTTCAAAAATGGAAATAAACTCATCATTGCAGTTTGTCAGATTCAATCATTCACTATGTTCAAAATCTCAGAATGGAAGAAATTGGACATTTAACACTGCTCCATTAATATTTTTCCCATCTCATCAATTTTCTTAGTTGATCATATATAAATGGCAGTAAACTGTTAATTTTGTTTTATGTTAAAAATTGTTAAAAATGGAAAAAAAAACATTTCAGAACAGTGCTGTCTTGTTTACATTTTTGCATTTTCAAGTTGTGACTTTGAAGTTCCATGGGCCTGAAGACCTTTGCTAGTCACATTTTCTGAATATCCATGATACTAATATTATATCAAAATTTGAAAAAAACCTATTTTGGGCACTGCTCCCATGATGACCATTTAAGAAAAACCATGTCACTTACTGTTCTCAAACTTACAGGAAAGAAACATGGGACTAAAATATAGCTTCAGTAGGCAATGCAATCTGCCAGTTAAACAGTTTTTTGTGAAATTTTAATTTTTCACATATTGGCATTTTCAAGGTGTGGCTTTGAAGTTCCACAGGCTTGAAGACCCATGCTTGTCACATTTTCTGAAAATCCATGATACGTATATTTTATTATTAAAAATTGATTGTCATTATGCTGGTAACCATTATGTAATATTGCATCAGAATAGAAGAAAACACAATTTTGGGTGCTGCTGCCATGATGACCATTATGGGAAAACCATGTTACTTATGATTGCCAAACTTTCAAAAAAGAAATACAGGACTAAAATGCAGCCTGAGTTGGAAAAGCAGTCTAATTGACTTTTTTTTCTGGAAGTTTTACATTTTCAAAGGGTGAACTTGAACTCCCATGGGCCTGAAGCCTTATGTTTGTTACACATTTTACTTACATTGGTATTACCTGTTGAGCATAATTAGAATTTGATGTTGAATTTGCAGTTTAACATAATGTGCTTTTGCATCAGAATTGACAGTAGCCTATTTTGTTATTTCCTGCTTTTTGTCTGTACATTTGACAGCTTTGCTGCCTTGTTAGCCAAAGTAAGCAAATTCTTTTATGTTAGCATGTGCCTAATTTCTCAGGTAATTGTATTTGATAACTAAAAGTATATGAATTGCTGCTCTGTTTTATTGCCAGATTTGGGAATGGATGAAGATGAAGAAGAAGCTGTTCCTCTTCCTAATGTAAATGCTGCCATATTAAAGAAAGTAATCCAGTGGTGCACCTACCACAAGGATGACCCACCTCCCCCTGAGGATGATGAAAACAGAGAGAAAAGAACAGATGATATAAGCTCTTGGGATGTGGAATTTTTAAAAGTAGACCAGGGGACATTGTTTGAATTAATACTAGTAAGTTTGTTTTATAAGGATCATCATTATCAATGAAAAGAAATTTTGATATTTTGCTTTGTTGATCTGCCAAAATTGGCCAATTTGTTGTAAGACATTACATTGGTATATTCATAATTTTTTGTAAGATGTTGAACTTAATCCACTTTGTAACTTCCGTAAATGGTTAAACCCAAAATCTTGTTGTTCACAGTTGTGTTACCTTTAATGACACTCTTTGGCAATGGTGGTATTGCTTTATAGAACTACAGATTGCTCTTGATTTTAAAATGGAATGTGAACAAATACTAGCCAGTAAGATTTCATTTCTGCTCTGATAAGTGATGTGTCCGTCTTGTATTTCTCATTTCTAGTTAAGACATGAACTCCATGTAACACACCTGGCAGAGCTCCCAGTAAAACATTTTGTGAATTGGTGCAAAGATCCCATTAACTGAAATTGTATTGTTTCTTAGAATATTTATGTTTACTTTTTTAGGCAGCCAACTATCTAGATATCAAGGGTTTACTAGACGTGACCTGCAAAACAGTGGCTAATATGATCAAAGGCAAGACACCAGAAGAAATCAGGAAGACCTTCAATATCAAAAATGATTTTACACCTGCAGAGGAAGAGCAGGTCAGTAAAAGATGTGAATACCAATCAGCTAAAGGTGTTTAAGTCCTTTTATGGAGATGGTTTTGTTCAAGAGGCAGATATTTTTGTAGCATGAATTCACTGCAGTGGTAATTGTGAAGTGCATCATCATTAGGATTAATCCATTGAATCGAAATGTGAAATGTAACAATATATTTTTTTTCTTTTTTAAGGTACGGAAAGAGAATGAATGGTGTGAAGAGAAGTGAAGAAGTCACATGTGCAACAACAAGACTTTAAACATCGTGTCAAAATGCCACCTTGAAGACCTCTCTCAAGTCACTTTTAATATGTGGAAAGTTGATATATAGACATATATGTATATGCTCCTGTTGTGGTGTATTTTATTGTGGTACAGCAGTCATTTTACTGACATAATTACAGCATTGACAACACTGTGGTGTATATTTTGCTGGCTGTACCTTATATTCTTCTGATTCATTGGATTCTTCAATGTCAACCAGCCTGCAAAACTGAATCTGTTGATACCCAATAGAATCAGAACTTAGCCACTCTAATCCAAGTTTTCCTGATTTTAAACAGACTTTCAGCACAAGTAGTATTCCATCTTACATACACCTGTATATATTTCATGCAGCTTGCTTATATGATCAGAATTTTGTTTTTTGTCGTCAGATTTGTTTCATTTAATAAATTGATAAATAAGTCAGTTTTTAAGCGATCACATATGGATTTATAATGGTGAAAAAAAGATGTTTTAAGTCCAGATTCAGTATAAAATTATCAGCTTTTTTCTGCAGTGGACCCCCATCATGCACACTGACAGTAAACTTAAAATGAAACCCCACTGACTAAAATGAATTGTTAATTCCGAGAAAAACCCAAGTAACAAACCACTGAGATGAGGTACTCTCTATACACCAAGAAAATCTTTATTCAGTTGAGCATTTGGCCACTGCTTTGGTACAAAGGAAGTATTTCCACTTGCCTACCAGGATGGTGACGATGAATTTGTTATTGAATTAGCACAACTGCCATTGGATGCAGCTAGAGTTCCTTTTGCTGCCATTTTAAACTAACCTGGAATTTGATCAGTACAGACTAACAGAAGAAAGGACAATGAAAAAATCTGATTGTGACTAGTGATGTTTATTTGGGATGTAGCACCCTTTTGGCTTCATTGATAGCTAATTTGTTACAATCACTGCAAGAAGTATGTAATACTCAATGAACCAGTCATTGACAGGATAAATTATCCCAGAATTAGAGATCTGAATCTTGAAAATGGTGGAGTAGAATTACAACTCCGATCCCTGATAAATTCTTGCACTTTTTCGTTTCCCGAAAAGATTACTTATTGCACACAATCTAAATAATTAAAGGTACTCTCCACACCAATTAAAATCCCCCACAGTTGTGTTTATGTCCCGAAAAACTTCCTATATTTTCCAATTCAGACCTTGAAGATGACAAAACCTTCTAAATAAAAGTATCTGAAGTGTGGTAATTATCCTTTTTAATTGCCATGTCTGGTAGCTTGCAATGTCTGTCATAAAAACACTGCACCATTTTCTTGTGTGAACATGAGGCCATGCCCGTGAAGGCAGACATCTCTCTATACAACTGGCCAGTCAAAATTATTCAATTAAAAATGTAACAATACATCTATTCCTAGCACAGGGATAAGTCTAGGAATGATTTGTGAGGAGGAAAAAATTGCCATTAGCCCCAAGAAAATCCATTTTGGCAGGTAAATCCTGTAGAGAGCACCTTTAAAATTTCACTATGTGGGTAGCTCTTCAACTACTAATGGAATGTGCATGTGTTAAATTAAATAGAAACGACTTGAATTTGGCAAATGTATCTTTTGAAAATCCTATGTGTAATTATAAAGTATGTCAAGTTGGCTGTGTGGTGTATAACAAAAAAATTCCTCCAAAGTTTTATGTTTCATGTAGAGCAGCAGCTTGTCATCTATCTTTTGGAAAGAGTTAATTTGGCAAATAAAAATATTGCTGCTTAATATGAAAGTGGCATTGTTTTGAAGACTGTGGTGAGCTGTACCAACACAAGCTTCTGCTGTATATATCACAGATGGTAGCCATGCACAGTTGGTGACAATTTTAATCTGTGAATATACAGGGAAAGAGGTTTTCAATGTAAGATTTAGAATCAAAAGTGACACAGTGATTTGACGAAACAGTGAATTAATATGAGATCCTTGTTTACTCTTAAAATCGCTACAAATCTCCACCAAACAATTTGTAATAAGCAAAAAACATAGTAACTCTTGAATGTGGATAAAGATGGTGAAACAAGAAGGGCAATTCATCATTTTTAACTGCAAAATGGACTAGAGAATTTGGACAAACAAATTTTCCCAATAAAATTGTAAACTTTTTTAAACCAGCATTTCTTCAAACAGTGTTCTAGAAAAGATAATTATTACTAAAAATAATTTGTAATGTAAAGAACAACAACATTTGGCTCTAGTGTTATTATTTCTAGTACGTGGCAGGTAGTTGTGTGTAGTTCCTTCCTTTCCTTCAGTCAATCTATGACACTGATGGGCAGTTCTGGTATAGTGGTACTACTGCTGGAGCTTCTGCCATCCAAAACTGGTTTAAGACTCCCCCCACTGTCACTGCCGCCTCTAAAAGTAGGTGCTGAAATACACAAATATAAGAAATATACAGTATAAGAAATGATACACATACTGTTTAACTGAGAAACAAAACATACACTAAACACAAAAAACTAAGTAACTTTTATCCAGTTACGCCAGGTTATATACAACATAAAGCACATAAGTCACCAAGTACTGGTTTATTTAAATGTTATACATTAGTTACTGACAAATGTAAGTTAAATGTTTTATCTAGAGACTGTACACAGTCTTGACAATTCTACATGTAGAATGTCACACTAAAAATTAAAGCAAGTCTGAATGAGTAATTATAAAGAAACATAAAAAGTTGACAGTTCCAAGTCTAAAAACCAAACTGAAATATTGTTAAATTAGTGCAATAAAGAAAAAGACTAATAAGAAGTGTATCAAAGAAACAAAAGTTTTTTGAAGGTTGTTGTTTAGTTGAAATCTGCAGCACAAGGTGAAGCATTAAAGACCAAGGTGAACTTAGAAAATAAATAAGAGACAAATGTGTCTTAACAAAGCCAAACAAAAGCAATATTGCTTTCTCCTGTGCAGATACATGTACATCCAGCATGTAACATTCAACCTGTCTATACTCACTGGTGGAATTTGAACCAGACCTCATGCTTGAAGAAACAAAAATTAGTGAGCATTATATGTGAAGCTTGAATAAATGTGAGCTTATGGTGCAAACTGGTGATATACCACAATAAAACAGTGATATACTCACATACTTGAACAATATACAACTGTATGCAAACCCGTAGCCAGCAATTGCAAAAGGGGGTTCTTTTTCTGAAAATGTGGACTTTTTGCCATGAAACCTAAGTTTAACTAGATCAAATTTACCCAGAGTGGACCTTTTCCCAACAAAAAGACCCACTGGCTACGGGTCTAGTATGCAAGCGTTATACTGATCCTTGTGGGTGATATGCCACTGCATGCCTTTGACATGCTGCTGTATACCAGTGACATATATATGAATATGTCCCACTGCATGCCAGTGATATACTGCTGTATACTGGTGATATACCACTGTATGCCAGTGAAATACTGCTGTATACTGGTGATATACCACTGCATGCCAGTGATATACTGCTGTATACTGCTGTATACTGGTGATATACCACTGTATGCCAGTGATATACTGCTGTATACTGGTGATATACCACTGCATGCCAGTGATATAGTACCTTATGCCAGTGATATACCACTATGCCAGTGATATACCACTATACCTTAGTGCTACAATTACTTGGAACAATAAATATTTCTGATCCACATATCATACATGAAAGTGATGTTCTCCAAACAACCAATTCTTTGTTTAAATGTAATAAAGGAAAATAACCCAAATGTGAGAAATACTCTCAGATCATTAAAATACCACTGATGTCTCACTTTAGGAGCTTCGTTCAAAACAGACTGGAAAACAAATGTCTATCGGTGTCATATTCACAGCCACAATCATAATTGAAATTCCTTTAGAAAATGTAAGTTACTGCAAGTCTAATATGTCAACTCACAAAAGTTAACTGCTCTAACAGTTAGTTTGGAGATTAGAAATTAGGTTCAGGACAAAAGTTCCATTAATTCTAAACCAAATAAATTGGTGAGTGGTCTAACAAAACAGTAGTTTACAAGTATATTGCACTATGTGTAAGTTGTAATTATGCTTATACAATCTATGACTGATGCGTGAAAAATAAGGGAGTAAACCATGGATTTGTGATCAAGTGTGATACTAAGTACATAGCAGGCTGTTCATTCCCAAAACAATACAGCTGCTTTAATGATGACCTATTTTAACAATGAAAAAAATTAACAAGTGTTCTGTACCCTTCTCTTTAAATTCTCCTGCTGTATAAAAGGAAGACAAAAATCCACCATAAGCAGATTATGTAGAGTAAAAAGAAACAGCTTCAACTCCTGACAAAATCACATGTATATACACAGTAATTTCCATGTTAATTACATGCATTCACCCCTCCCAACCCTTAAATACGTAATCCCTGCACACCCAATCCCCTGTCTCTGTCACTCCACCCTACCCAACCTATCCTGACTCTAAACATTTCTCCCATTATTCACCACCCCACGCTCTTTCTCCATGAGGTACCTCATCAAGCACACTCCTGTTATGTTACTGATACCCCCAACCCATCTCCTCATCTTCCCCCTAACTACAAGCAGTATTTATACAATAAGACCATGAAAAAGAGGTTCGAGTCATTAATACAGTAATCAAAATCACTAACTTGTGCCTCCAAGTCACAAATGATCAATATTGTTTATGAAGCCTGTTTACACCCCCCAAGCACCTATTCCCTATAAACAATACTCTCACATTACTTACAACTCCCTCCCATCTCTCTCAGGATCTCATTCCTACACAACTATCCCTGAGTTCTAGTCAATGTGTCTGTACCAACATGTTCTACTTACACCTCATCCTCATACTCCTTAGGACCAGCCTTGGCCACCACCAACTGTGCATGAACCTGAAGGAAGATTCAAGTGAACTTTAATTTTCATCCATATATGTACTTAAACAATAAAACATAAGCTGTATTTTTTAAACAAGAAGTGAAAAAGAAAAACAATAAATAAAGATTACAGAGTAAAAGTGGACCCCCTATTTGCACACTGCACAATTATATAAAAATGTTCTTAACTTCAAATGTGTTTTTGTTATTTCAACAACCTGGTTACTCGTTCCATAATTTAGATGACTTTGCATAAAAAATTTTAAAAAAGGTTTTTACCTTATGGTTAGATTTGTATCTAAAACATGAATCATTCCATGCGTCAAATTCTAAGGGTGCTTTCCCAGAGATTTAGATCAATCTAAAGATTAAGTTTTAGATCGACCTTACTCCCTGGGGGTTCACACTAAATTGCAGTCAGCCGAGCGGGCACCATAGTTAATTACCCCCTTACAGCTTTTAGTAGGCAGGACAGACGCTTAAGCCGGCCAAGCTGACAGTTATCTAGTGAGACTCCCCACAGGGATAGATCGACCTAAAAATCTATGGAAATGGGGTGTAAGACATGTTTACTGCAAATCCTATCATTAGAAGAAATTTTAAAGCCCCAGCAGACACAAAAACTGAACATCATTGATGGTATTAATGTATAAAGTATAGACAGATATATAAAGTGAAAATGATTCATTTATAAATGTGACATCTCACCCCAACTCTATCAGCTGCTTCATCCACCAGCCTCATGGCTTCATCCATAGACACATCCACCAGGCTGTGACCATCCACCATCATCAGCTGGTCACCCTTGTGAATACCACCTGCAAAATACTTGTACAACTGAACTCTAGGATATATTATTAATTTGTTTTAGCCAAGAACCTGGATATTTCTAGACAAATCATAATTTGAACCACATCAATGAGAGATATAATGAAAATATTTGTGAACATGTACCTCATTTTCAACTTCCATTTTAACTTCATTTTCATTAATTTTTTCATATAATGTTCTATTCGCAATGCAATTTCTTAATTAATCTGTTAACAACCTTAAACACAAATGGATTTGGATTCCAAAGAATTGGGGGAAAAACCCTATGCACCACCTTGCATGTGAACTATTCCTCCCTCCATGACATGTGTCACAATGATCTTGCCGCGGAGGGCTGTGCCTGTGCCTCCTTCAAATGACAGGTCTCGAAGACCATTCTAAAACAGAAAAATATCTATTGTGAACAAATATTGACTTATGGTCTAGAAAAAAATAATAAGGGACTGGTTAGATTGCACAGGCTTAACATACAAAATCTTCAGAAGATTTATACACAATCATAAGGTATATTTCAGAAGCAAAAGATCCATCTTACCCGTCGTATCTTCAACAGTATCACTTGTCTGCCCTCTATCTCCTCATGTGTGAACTGAATACCAAAATATTAAATTGATATTAAATTTGCATCAAAATAAACACCAAAATAAACTGTTGTCAAACAATATTATTTGAATCTAATGTATATATGATAAATTGATTATAAATGTATCTGTTTTCAGCTTTCAAGCATCTACCCAAAAAGTAAAGAATATCACCATTTAGTTGATTTACAACTTGAACAACTCATAAACACTCACATATCTCTCTGGATCAAAATCTGTTTCTGATATGGCATCATCATCAAAGTAAGGGGTCCTAAAAATACAATTTGTATAAATTCTCAATTAAGGCATTTTTCTTGGTTTATCAATGAACAATCTGCTCTTAAGGACTGAAACACAACTTCAGAAAACATCAATATTCCACTGATTTTTTTCTCTTGATTCTGTCAACACTGATTAAGGCAGCACTGTCTATCACTCACCCTGTCTTCTCCTGTGAGGATGTCTTGCTTGATGCTGGGCTCATCAAAACTGGCTTTTGCAATTTGAAACTACTGGCCTGGGTCAACTGAAATAGGTTATAATGCATCTGGAGAGTGGTTCATAAGATACCAAAAAAAAAA